CGAGGCGAAGCTGGGCGGCAGCCCGGGGCTGTGAGGCCTCAGCGTCTGCGTCCGGCCGGGGCCGGGCCTGGGCCTTCGGGGTGAGGGGCCCGGTGTCCTCTGCGCGCGCTGTGAAGGGCTCCTGCTTCCGTGTTTTCGGTTTGCTTGTGGCGAATTGGTGATCGCTGAAAAGTGAGTATGTGAGATACGAAATCAGCCCCGCGTTCGAAATAGACAAAGAGATGTCTGTTTCCAGACAATCAGTTGCTGCTACTATTGTTGACTAAACCGTACTCGAGTACTAAAATCTCTTGAACTGACAATACGATGGACGTTTTGTTGGTACTTTTTACAGGGGACGCCGCAAAAGGATGTTATAATAAAACCCGATGCCCCAAGCACATTACTTTCGGAGAAACATGCGGACTATATAGCTTCATATGGAACAAAGAAAGATGATTATGTAGGTATCAATTTGTTTCAGTACAGATGTGGTTTTATTAACAGTCAAAATAACCCTTATTTACTTGCTGAGAGCTAAGGGTTAGGTGCATGCTCACAAGCCAATTGCTTCTTACCCTGCAATCCAGAGTATAAAAGAAAGATGTCTTTGTTAGCTTCCCTAGGTCTGTGGAGTTTTGGCATGTACTGAGTGTAAATTTGAAGATTATTAGTTTAGCTCTAGAATTACTGTAAGACCTGGAGAATGAACTACTTGTTTCTTCATCCACTAGAATGCACAAGGAGTATAGCTGCAGTTACACGTTGCTCCTTCGATGAGACAGCATACTGAATGTCACCACAGCACTGCTTCGTGCTTACTAGGTTTGATAAACACTTTAACTACTATCAGTTTTATAGTAATTGGTTGTCAGATGTAGCCCACAACAACAGGATTCCAGTTCCAGCAGGTGAAAAATGTCAGTAACTGCTTATGTCTGAAGAAAAGTGGCAGTTATCTTTACTGTCCACAAAAGAACTCTAAGCACTATTCCTTATGATTGTCATTCTTGTGCTTAAAAAGTACTGCATGTAGAAAATGTTTATAGGTAGTGTAGGTGATGTAATCAATGTAAGAGAATTCAGTATGAGATTTCACTTCCTAGTGCAGCTTTAGAGTGTGGCAGTTTTGGCACTTGAAAGTAAGTTTAATTAAATATTAGACTTGCTATTTTTGGGACTAGTTGGGGTGGTAATTTGAGTGGTAGTTTGGATGCCAAGGTAATAACTGATGATCTGAAGTTAATGGGTGCTTAACTACTTGTATGGGTTTAATGTGACATTGAGCTTGATACTTCTGAACTAGAAGATACAGAGGAGGAAGGGAATGTAACATGCCTATGTGTGCATATGCCTGTATGTATGCCTGTGTATATACACACATGCATGATGTACAGAATATTTGTGAGTGGCTGATACACAGTAAGTTGTTAATGGGATGGAAGATAGTTGACATATTACGAACTGTTTGTAAATGTTAACTAATGTGTTTTCATTGCTCTGTATTGATGATGTGCTTATCTGATTGAGAACTAAAATAATGCACTACTTAGGAATACTGTATGTCGGAGTATTTGAGGATGAGTGGTGTTTACTGGGGGCTGACAGCAATGGATCTCATGGGGCAGCTGCACCGAATGAACAAAGAAGAAATTTTGGCATTCATCAAATCGTGTCAACATGAATGTGGTGGAATAAGTGCCAGCATAGGTCATGATCCTCACCTTCTGTATACCCTCAGTGCTGTCCAGGTAAATTTAACAGGGTAATTTTAGAAAAAGAAATAAATTGTAATTAATTATTTTGATGATTGCAGATTTACGAACCAGGTACTGTTGGATGCCAATGGCAAAAACTATTTCAATATCTTATTTTAAAGCAAAGTAAAATCTAATGGACAAAACTTTAGGATTTAGCTGCATCATTTCCTAAAAAATTGTCAGATTTGGGAACGTGCTTTTAATGATCACTTAATGGGTGGCTGCATTCTTGATGATAAACTTTGTAACAGTCATCTTGAAATATGTCTTAGGTCCAGGTTTTATACGAGTTTTTTGTAGATAATTTTGGATTCTATAAATTCTTCTTAGTATACATTCTGGTCATACATATCTTTCACCCCAATAAAAGCAAAGTTTTGGATTTTATTTTTTGTGTATATATATTCCTATATTATGATTGCTATAGATGACAACATATAAATATTACATAATTATTTATTAATATAAACTGTATAGTTATGTGTAGTGTGTTTACACTTTAGCACTGGACAAAAGAAACAACGTAGTAGCCAGTTCTTGTTCTGTTCTTTAAGTCTGCTTTTCTTGTGTATCGTTATAAAATGCTCAACAGACTGGCATAATTTTTTAAATTATTTGGTGTGTACTCTTCCCCCGAGAAACAGTAATTCTCAATCTTATTTTTTCATTATAACTATATCCATTATAGCTCTAATTTCTCACTATTTCTTGTCCTTCTTTTTGTTTGTGTGGTGGGTTTTTTTTGTTCTCCTCCTTATGCAAACTGTCGTGGGAAAAAAATACCGAAAAGGCTCAAATGCTTCTGAACGAGCTCTTGATTGCTTGCATAATGTATCCCTAGTCGAATCTTATGGAAGAAATACTTAAACAGTGTTACAAATAAATAAGATAGCATTCTGTTTTAGGAAGAAAGTGTGCTGGATTTAAGGTGTTCATAGAATCATAGAATCTTTGTGCTGAATGTGACGTTTTAAGGTCATCTAGTCCAACCCCCCTGCCATGAGCAGGGACATCTTCAACTCGATCAGGTTGCTGAGAGCCCCGTCCAACCTGACCTGGGATGTTTCCAGGGATGGGGCATTGACCACCTCTCTGGGCAACCTGGGCCAGTGTCTCAGCACCCTCATTGTGAGAAATTTCTTCCTTATACGTAGTCTAAATCTGCCCTCTTTTAGTTTAAAACCATTACCCCTTGTCCTGTTGCTACAGGCCCTGCTAAAAGTCTTGTCTCCATCTTTCTTTATCAGCCCCTTTTAAGCCCTGGCAGCTGCAGTAAGGTCTCCCCGGAGCTGAACACCCCAGCTGTCCCAGCCTGTCCTCCCAGCAGAGCTGTTCCAGCGCTTGGAGCATTGCTGGGGCCTCCTCTTGACCCTCTCCAACAGGTCCATGTCTCTCCTGTGCCAGAGCTGGACGCAGCACTGCGGGGGGGGGAGTCTCACTAGAGCGGAGCAGAGGGGCAGAATCCCCTCCCTCGCCCTGCTGGCCACGCGGCTTTGGGGGCAGCCCAGGATATGGTTGGCCGCCTGGGCTGTGAGTGCATGTTGCTGGCTCATGTCCAGCTTTTCATCCCCCAGGACCCCCAAGTCCCTCTGGGCAAGGCTGCTCTCCATCCCTTCATCCCCCAGCCTGTGCTGATACTGGGGGTTGCCCTGACCCAGGGGCAGGACCCTGCACTTGGCCTTGTTGAACCTCATGAAGTTCACAGGGGCCCATTTCTCAGGCTTGTCCAGGTCCCTCTGGATGGCATCCCATCCCTCAGGCATGTCAGCTGCACCACTCAGCTTGGTGTCACCTGCAAAACTTGCTGAGGGTGCCCTTGATCCCACTGTCTCTGTCACTGATGAAGATTATTAAAGAGTACTGGTCCCAATAGGGACCCCAAGGGACATCGCTTGTCACCAGTCTCCATCTGGACATTAAGCCATTGACCACTACCCTCTGGATGCAACCATCCAACCAATTCCTCATCCACCCAGCAGTCCACCCATGAAATCCATCTCCAATTTAGAGAGAAGGGTGTTGTGGGGGACCATGTCAAAGGCCTTACAGAAGTCCAGATAGACATCTGTAGCTCTTCCCTTGTCCACTGATGTGGTCACTCCATCATAGAAGGCCACTAGGATGGTCAGGCAGGACTTGCCCTTGGTGAAGCCATGCTGGCTGTCTCGAATCACCTCCCTGTCCTCCATGTACCTTGGCATAGCTTCTAGGAGGATCTGCTCCATGATCTTCCCAGGCACAGAAGTGAGGCTGCTGGGTGCGTATTTCCCATGGTCCTCCTTGCTACCTTTTTTAAAAATGGGTGCAATGTTTTAGGGGGGCATGCTTTGATTATATATTTTCTGTTGGAGTTACAAATTCTCTTTTGCATTTCCATAAGACTTAAATTTTATCTAACAGTTTAAAGATTCCAGCAAACTCTAGGTGTTCGAATTCATAGTTGGTGTTTTTCAGGATTGGCACTATAATATTGCTTAGTTTCAACTGTGCTTTTTATTATGCTGTTTATAATAAATTCTTAATGACTCTCTTTACAGATTATGCAAGTTATGAGTAAAGACATGAAACCAGCTGAGGCTCAGAAACAGTATTGTTGTTTTCATATGACATTGTGTCATACGGGTTTACTGGTTCAAATCAGGGCTAGCTCAGAAAACTTTATATTCCCTACTATGACCTTTATTTTTCTTCCAGAATATATTGACTGTACAGCTTGTGTCTAATAATATTGTTCACACTTTTTCTTAGATTATTGCAATTTGGATCTACTCATTATGTTTAAAAACTGAATGTAGATAGAAGTCTGATAATTCAAAACTCATAATTGCTGACAGGCTTGGACTGTTAAGTGGTATTAGTAACTAGCTGCTTAACTTACACTTGCACATATCCAAGTAGCAGCAGTACAGCAAACTACAAATTTGTAAGTCTAGGATGTCATTATACCATTACAAAACTAACCATAATCAAATCTCTCTTCTATATAATGCTAACATAAAAACAAACCAACCTGAATATGCTTTTGAAAGGAGAGTTGGAAGCTGAAAAGTAACAAAGCATGAAAGAGTTCAGCTTGAATTGCCTACATTTTCATTTGATAATTTCTTAAAGTTTTTAGAGATAGATGAATTGCGGTGAATGAAATTCTATTTTAATAAACCTTACCAAATAGTATTCACAGTCCATTGCATGAAGTCTTTTGGAAGTGTAGGATTTTTTTTTTTTTTTAAGAAATAAATCTTAAAAATTTTTACCTCTCTCTGATTGTTCCTGTGTCTTTTTTTCCAGATTCTTATCTTATATGATAGTCTCCATGTTGTTGATGTAAATAAAATTGTTGAATATATACAGAACTTGCAAAAAGAAGATGGATCATTTGCTGGGGACAAATGGGGTAATTTTTAGATATTTACAATTGAGTGACTAGGTGGACGCTTGTAAGCCAGTGAACTTAAGTTTCCTTGGATAGTCTTTTTGCTTATGTATTGTATGTGAATTTTTTTTTCTTTCATTTTTTGAGTTATGAAAAGAAGCTTTTGCGAAGGACAGAGTTGTGTTTCATTCCTTTCATAAATATTCTAAACTTCAGTTCCATTCGTGTATTAAAAATAAATTTTCCAGCTCTTATAGAAGAAGACCTTTGAGCATTTGTAAGTTGACAGTGCTCTGATGTACTAGATATACTATTCCATAAGGAATGTTTTATGCTTGCTATTTAATGGCAGTCAGTTGTGATCTTTATCCATGTTGGCTATGACAGGATCTTTCACTATATGGGAATGAGGAAAAACTGGTTTTGTACTCATGCACTTCTGTTAGTACTGATTTTGTTTCTGCATATAAATTCTTTATGAGCAAAGATGGCATTTTTAAGTTGTAGCTTAAATACTTAGTTACTCTAAAAAATACTTACCTCCACGGAATGCTTGCATTTTAATGCAATCTATTGCATATTGCTCATGTTTTTTGTTCTGGTAAAATTCAGCAATCAAGATCATGGCAGTATATGTATGCTACTGTAAAGGTAGCTGTTATGCTGTGTGTTAAAATGGTTCATAGTTTGCTGCATTCTTTTTGTTAAAAGTATTGAAATAAACGCACTGAATGCGCAATGGATTTGCAGTTACAGCGCAACTGAAGGAGTGTGTTACCTGATGTAGTACAGAACAGCACAAGTTTTATATGTTTCAGCTTGTGTATTTCTTAAGAAGAAAAGTCTTGCATCAGTTTGGCCAAAAAAATGAATGTTTGTGGCTGGGTCCAATTTTAAATTTTGACTTCAAGTATTAATTGCTCAGAGGTTGTGCTAGAGAGTTGTATTGACATGGACTTGCCGAGCAATCATTCTGCTATATGTATAGCGTTCTTGGTTTAGCTTCCAGGTATAAGTATGAAAAAGGAAACTTGCAACTTTCATTGGTTGTCTTCTGAAAACAAAAATGGCTTCTACTTCTGCTCAAATTTAAGGCAGATCAAGAGTTGTGTCTGAGTATTTTTGAGTCCACTGCTCTGCTATAATCTAGTAGAGCACTACAGATAAACTCTGAAATTATAGTTATTTGTAAATTACCACTAGTTGAATTGGTTTGGATATATATCTGACTATACAGCAGCTTAAAATGAGGTGTAAGCTTTTATGTGCAGTAAACATACAGATCACTCGAGTTGTAATGTGCACTTTCTAAATTACTGAGGAAATAATCCATGGGCTGGAAAAGGAAACAGTACAGGGGGCAGTTTTTGGCTGATTTTTGTTGTTCAGTGTAAAACCTAGCATTTTAACATTTTTTTCCATATTTTCAGTGGTGATTTAAATGTGTTTTTGTTGTTGTTAATAAAAGTACTCTTTATTTCATTCCCTACCCCCCACATTCTAGGAGAAATAGATACAAGGTTCTCCTTCTGTGCTGCCGCAACTCTTGCACTTCTGGTAAGTCCTAAATCATTACTTACAGGAGTACAGAATCTTCTGTTTGGTACTGCTGAAGTTTCTGTAGCTAATTAACTTGGTAGAATATGCCGTGCATTAGTTGCTTTTCTGACTTGCAGGGAAAGCTGGATGCTATTGACGTGGGGAAGGCAGTAGAATTCGTTTTGTCCTGTATGAACTTTGATGGAGGATTTGGTTGTAGACCAGGTTCCGAATCCCATGCAGGACAGGTGAGTTTTTCTTTTATGTGGAAATGTTTTAAATTAGCAAGCATCACATACTGCCTGTAAATATTTCTTTACAATATCTATCAGTGATGTTGATTGCTGTACCTTCCTTCGTTTCCCAAATGCCTCATTCTAGTACCTTAGTTAAAATAAATGAACAAATAGGTAGATAAATCTGAGAAGATGAGTAGACACTCTGGAGGTTGTAGTCTGGGGACAAAAAAAAAAGATCTTAAGGGAACAACTTCTAGGACTCTATTCCGGTCTTCACATAATGATGTTGGAATAGTTAGCATGAGGATTTTTAGAGAATTTGAAATGGGTATTAATGGAGATGTTGGACAAGATCTATGATTGTGTCTGTGATATGATAATGAAACATAGAGGTCAATTGTATATTATGTTTGATATTTATCAGCTGACGAAGACAAAAATGAGTCGTGAACCTTCTCAATGGGAGGCTTGCTTAATTTTTTGAGGAAAGTTGGTTTTAAGATGAGATACCTAACTAGGGCATGGGAGCACTTACGATGTTTTGTTCTGGGCACTGAAGAGTGTTTTACTAGTGACAGTGAATTCTGAAAAATGCTCAGTAAAATCTAGTTGAGAAGATAATGCAGTGTATAATTGGAACAAATTAAGGGATCTCTCAAGGAAGAGAATGTCAATGACTTCTTCCAGCAGAAAGTTTACATAAAAACTAGCTTTTCTATTTTTATTTTTTTTAATTGAAGGGATGATTCCACTTAACCTGAATTTATGAATAAAAATCAACTTTTAATAAAATATTTTAATGCTGTTGCAATCATCTACTTATTTTGCATGGTTATGGTGAGCAATACCGTAGCCATAATTCACCGTGGCACGTGAAAATACTAGAGGTATTTTCTTGAGAAAAAGTGTTGGCTGCTTTCTCCCCCCGCCCCCCCCCCTTTTTTTTTTTTCAAATTGGGGAAAAAAAAAAATAACCTGGTATATGTACCTTATCTTACAAGTTCTATCTTATATTCTAAATGGCTGGATCATGTTCTAGTACTCGAGGAAGTCAGATTTAAGTACCTGAACCCACTCTGCTTGCAGCTGGCATTTCCTGGGAGGATTAGATCTGTGGTGCATATTCACATACTCTTTAAAATGCTGTAAAAGGCAACTCCTTCGTCTGCACGGTAGTTAAAAAATTTTCTGGGATTGTCACATTTATTTTGCAGTATTCTTAGATAGGCACATCCCTGTTGATGTGTGCTTTTGTTGGGTTTTTTTGTTGTCTTTCTGCGGGTGCATTTTACTGGGAAAAGGCGATTATGAGCAAGCTTCAGTTGATACTGTGGTTTATTGCAGTTTGGCCTGGCTGCTTTCTTAGTGACTGCATGAAACATGACCAGAGTATGCTGTTACACTGTAAACGTTATTTCCCAGGAAAAAACAAACAGGGATTAATCAATGCACATATATTACATGGCACATTGAAAGTAAGCCTGATGTGACTAGATGTATGTGGGATTGCCACGTTAGTTAAATGATCAGGGTTAACCTGGTTTTGCTAGAGAATTCATTTGGTCTTTAGTTTGTTCTCCCCAAGCCTGTGGGTAAGAGGCACGTACAAGAACAAACCATCGGCTGGATGCAAAATTTTCATAAAGGCCATATGCAGCCTGCAGAAATCAGTTTAAGTACCCTGGCTCGAGAGTCTGTGTTTTTAAAATAAAACTGTATGGCTCTGCCTGATCTTTTAGGATCTTCTTCCAAACCTTGCATTAGTGTCTTATATTAGTAAAATCTTACTGTTCTATAATTACGTTGTGTAACTGGTACTTTTATACAAAAGCAACTGTAACAATAATATACTTTTCTAATGGAAAAGTAAAACTAATTTGAAACTAAAAGTTGAAATGTGTGCTTACTTTGTATCGTGTTTGCATGGCTGTATTCCCGCTTTGAGATTTTTGTGCCTTTAGTCTGCTAAACTATAATTAGTTTTTAAATACACAAAAAATTTATGTCTGTAATTTTAGATCTATTGTTGCACAGGATTTCTGGCTATAACAGACCAGTTGCATCAAATAAATGTTGACTTGCTGGGTTGGTGGCTTTGTGAACGTCAGTTACCTTCTGGAGGTCTCAACGGACGACCAGAGAAGGTATTAGTTGGCTTCTTTTATTTTCTTTTCTTAAGCTGAAGTATTTCTGGAAAATGTCATGACTTCTATGAAATACTTAGTGAACTTTTCAAAGAAGTCAGGCCTTCATTTTGATTCTTCATTTTGTCACTAACACTTGTCATGCAGTCTTTAGCTATGCTTAGTTTGAGTCCCCAGTTTAGGAAAGTACACATACTGAAATATGTCTTGCTGACCCCTTGAACTGGTATCCTGTTAAATCAGGCCCTGAATATTTTCTGACACTGAGAATGATTTCTTTTGTAGGCTTTGTACAAAATGTACTGTTTTTCTGCTCCACATCACACTAAGAAATTGTGTAACCTAGAATCATCTCCACTGGCAAACAAATAACCCACCAACTTTTTTTTTTTTTTAATTAAACTAGTTGATATGAAGTTCTTTGTACTTCTGAAAAAGGTACTATGTTGTTTTACCATCTCCCACAGAAGGTGAAGGCTGCTTCAAAATCACATTCTCGTGGTTTTGTTTCTTGAAGAAGGGAAGAGATTTGAAAAAGAGAATTTCCCTTCCTGAAAAAGGGAAGTCCTCTGGAAAGAGACTGCATCCAGGAACTTTCTTCTCTTTTACCCCAAAGAAACTCATTTAAGTGTTTTTTCCCCTGCAACAATATTATGACAGCACACCTAGTAATTTGCAGAATCACCAATAAAATTTGCAACATTGAGTGTAAAACAAAATCAAATAATAATCTGCTTCTCTGCTCGCCAGCTACCTGATGTATGTTACTCATGGTGGGTGCTAGCATCTTTGAAGATGATTGGTAGGTTACATTGGATTGACAGAGAGAAACTGCGCTGCTTTATTTTGGCTTGCCAGGATGAGGAAACTGGAGGATTTGCTGACAGACCAGGAGATATGGTAAATAATCCTTTACTAAATAAAATATACTTAACTGAAAATTTCAACTGAAAAAGCAAGGTTTTTTTGTTTGAGTGCAACTCAACTCGTGATCCAGGTGTAAGCATTTTGCAGAGCCTGCAGTTTACTTTGAAGGGAAGAATAGGATAGAGTGGCTTTTGAAGTCTTACTTGGGGAGCACATACTTTATATTGCCCTTGCACTGTAGTATCCCCCACTGAAATCAGTTGCCGTTTGTTAAAAATTCTGGTTTGGCTCCCATAACACGTACCACACAAATAATTTCTCACGAGACCACTTGGAAGATGTCTGTAAAAATACTGTGTTTGGTGGTGGGTTTTTTGGG